TGTGGGCACGCGTCTTGTCCTACCAGCTCAGCCAAGGGAGTGCTGACGTCCATCAGGGATATGGGCAGGCAGCAGAGGGGTGGCGTCTCAGCACCGCAGCCAGACCTGTGGCAGCACATGCACCAGACACCCCACTTCCCTCTGCTTGTCCCCAAGGACAGCGTGTATGCAAAGAAAGAGGGAGTTGCCACTGACCTACCTTTGCACAAAGAGAAAGAAGGCAAAGATACTGGTCAATCATTAGCCAAGCCACTCACTTCACACAGTGCTGGAACAGAAAGATGCAGATGATGAAGGTGAAAGCATCCTGCAGAGGCAACGTGGTGAGTACAGGACATCAGAGCGGAGCCTGGGAGAGAGGCTCAAAAGGATGAACGCACTGAAAATAAACCCTGCTATAACATAAACGAGTTTCCAATTTGAGAATATGCAATATTTTTTCACAGGGTCTGTTTTTCTTTTTGCTGAAGATCACAAAGTGATGATTCCTTTCAAATCACTTCCAGAGCAACGACGGTTGTATTACCTGTTCTTTGCCTGCCTACCTCCTCCCAGCCTCAGGAAAAAAAATTTCAAGCTACAAAGTCATATATAGAGAGGAATTTTTCAAGCGAAACACTGAACCAGAAGGAAAAAAATGGAAGAAGATGAGATAGTAGCAGGGAATGAGCAGCAGCACCTTCCTCAGCACAGGAACACAAATGTGTAGCGACCTGAGCACTCAGGAGGCAGAGTCTCTGCATTTAGCTCCAAAAGCTTGAGCAAGCATCAGCCCCGTGGTTCCCCCGAGCAGGACCAGTAAGGCAACCTCGCCCCTTCCGCGCTTCCCCTCATCCCACCTGCCTTGGCTTCCTGCCCTGGAAGCGAGGAGGACAGGGAGTCGCTCTGCAGCCCACATGTTCCATCCTGCTTTAGCAGTGAGTGAGCACATGCCAAAATCATGGTACCCAGGGACAGGTATTTGAGAATATCCCACCCTCTCCTGTCCCTTGGTACCAAGGACTGGCTGTCGGCTATTCTCAAAATACTTATGTGTGATTCTAGTGACCAGGTCAAAAACAAAACTCAGCACCGTTTTGAAAAATTTGTTCATTGATGTTGGAAACCCCACAAAGCTGGGCTCTTGAGAAAAGCCTGACATCCAGGTCTTAATTTACACAGATTCTGTGGAGTCGCACTTTATACTGGCTTCGCTTGGAGCTTTTTGCGGCGAGCGCGTCTGGAAACCTGCCTCGCGCACGCCTG